TGATAACGGATCAGCAAAGATTTCGAGATTAGCAAGAAAAAATGTTTTGTCTTCTCGCAATACGAGACACAGTGAAAATGATTTAACTATAGATTTAGAAACGGTTTTTCCTCTTTATTTCAGCTATAGTTTGAATGATAAAATGAATTGATCAAGTGCAACATATTTCGATGAACATGAGTTGATGTAGAGTTAGAAAATTCTGTATGTACAATGTGACAAGAAAGAATAATGGTTCATTTTATTAATCAATGATTGAGTACGGAATGGTGTGCTAGTTTATTAGTTACGTTGTTGATTTATCAGCAGTCATTTCAGAAGATGAACACGAAATTTTGCTGAAATAGCGGATGTAAGAGCTGATTAATAAGACACTGAAGCGAAGTTACTATTCAAATCATTTCTACACAATAAATATGCTCGGCTACTACTAAATGCATTCATTTCATTCGCTAAAGAGACATCCATTCAATCATACAAAGTTTTCATTCGAATTGCGCACAAACGATTGATTTTAACAATTGGATGGTTCCACTGTTCATTTCTTAAAGATTCTTGTTGGAATTACGTTGAATAATCAGCAACTTAGTCGTGTCGTCTTTTAGATTGAATTCAATTTCCAAATCGCCATCACGGGGAATAGTGACAAATGAATCCGTTAGTAAAGGAGAAAAGAATCCATAAGATGCTCTTTGATGCTGAAATGTTAGAGTTTCATCTTATTCACGATCACCTCGTTCATGAGCATTCTGGATTGAATTCGCTTCCAATATGCAGTCTATTTACGTTCAAAAATTCCAGCAACGATTTCGAACTCGCAGTCCTTCCTCTGCGAATAACTTAATTCAGGTAATCTTGAATTAATTTCTATACTTTTCAATCCTACGATAATCGATTTCGTAACTCTTAAGTTTGGGAAAGAAACTTTTTCACTCCTTTCTAATTTTAAAATCGACAACCAGTGTTAAATTCCCATTATATTGTAGACAGTACCATGCTGTCCAGTTGCTTGCCCGACTATTGCTCTCCTTCCCCACCGCACCCCTTCTTTTTGCTTTTCCCTCCAGCCTTCCTCCTCTTTTCCTTCTTTTTTCCACCTCATTCTCCCTTTTCTTTCACCCTCCGGGTGGGGAGATGGGTTATACGCTCAATGCTCCTCTCTTAGCTACGCCACCTTATGCTACATCCGACCATTCAGACGAAGTAGGTGAATGTCATTTGAATAGGTGATTTTTATTCTGTAACGTATATGTTGGCTGAAAGTCAATCGCACTGCTATAGAACCTTGCTGGTTTGGTGAGAATTAGGCGCGATGATGACTTGGACATGGTAAACATGAAAATATGGATGCTCATAACATGGCATCTTTGAGAACGAACTTATAGCTGTTATATAGATGTCATCCAAAAAGTCGTTCAATGCATTCAAGATGGTGTTTTCTTGATTCTTGACAAGCAATGAATGGATGCTGTTTCTGGAGTATGAGTGGAGAGTGAATGATGCAATTGACTAGTCATCAATAAATTAGTAGGCTGCAAGTAATGTATGAGTAAGATACTTACTCGATTTTATTTATGCATTCGCAAACATCATAAAACGCTTCATCCATTCACTCGAAATCCTTGTTACTCAGTGCTGAGGTATTTTTCAAACGACGAGTGACGCCGACACGGATCCGAATTCCTCTTCGATAAGAGTATTATTGTTTGTAGTGAACAATAATTGTTGTCAGCAGCTCGGTGTTCACCTTTCTGCACTTTAATTTCATGCTATTATTGCATAATCGCTAGTCTTTGCTAAGTCCCGAGTACTTTGCAGTTCCAGAATTGGAAACATGAAATAAACGAGAGACAAAGCAGCGGTGATGACCAGCGAAGGAGCAAAAACAATGATATAATGAAATTGTTTTCACTGTTTTTTTCAAAAAAAAAAAGAAACCTGAGGTGGTGCCAATATGTGATTATTTACCTATTTATTCTCCCTTAGGTGATTGGGGACAAATATTACTTATCGTAAGTGTGAATGAACTAGGAATGATTGATGTGTATTTCGAGATGAATATATTAACAAAGTTCTATAAAATGCCGTGCTGTATCAAATCCCAAGATTCCGGAGTTTTCCAGAACATGAATCTCGGAATCAGAAAGTCGAGAGACCGGGATCTCGCGTGAAGACTAGTAGTTGCATGCGCATATAACAAATATGCCGAGACTATGATGTGTAACGCTTAAATCATGGTCTGTATTTGTGGATTTGATTGAATAGAATCAAACTTTAAGGTACTCTGAATGGATATGCTGTTAATTGTGTTCGTAATGTTGATTTCTATTCGAAGGATTCATTCTAGAACATGTGTTGATGACGTTAAGGTTAGCAGTTTCTCTTTCAACGATCAAATTCTCTGCAAAATGTGAGTATAAATGCTATCGAATTGTGTTCAATGAGGATATGGTCACGCGAAACTTTCTTTTTAATATTTCATGAAGTCCAGGATTTATGGAAATCAAATCCGAATTCAACGTTCAGAATAATTGAGTTCAACTATAATGAGACTCAGATTTAGGGTGTGTGCGATGCTCATGATATTTTCGGATGGTGCTTTCACGACAAACTGACTGGTGCTTTTAATTGTGATGATGACTGGTTTTGTGCGAATCAAACACAAATCAGAGGGAAAGTTAATTCGACAGGGTGTTTCGATCGAGGAGTGGATGGTGTTAAGTGCTGTTGCAATGAAGCGGTTCATTCATTTTGAAATCCTTACCAACTTTCTTGCATGTGCTGAGCTCGGGAGCGTAGTATTAAAAAAAAACATCATGAGATGCATCAAGAGAATCGATTCGAATTAATTTCGCATGATATGAATTGTGTTAGTAGTATGCAGTAATGTACGATTTCAGTCAATGTGCAATTACAATTTTCTACGTTCCGAACCCAGGTTGATGACAAATGCATCACAAAGCTGTAAATATTCATACGAGACGCCTGGTACTGATGAAATTCTTCAATACAAAAACTGCGAAGATCCTTGGTGTATCGCGTTCATATCGTCTGTACGCTTTTATCGCAATCAGCACTTTTATGATTTCTTTCAAATGAACGAGACATTCTCAAATGTCATAACCATTCCCGTTTAGCATCTCAAAGCAAGATACAGTATCTAAGAATTCGTGTTTCTAGAACCTACATAACTTATTTGTAGAATCTTGAGGGCGGTCCAAGCACTGTAATGCGTGGATGTCAATCGCGATTACTTCACAGGATCATTTCTGAGCAGCGGAGTTTTACGGTACGTTACAGATCCTTTAGATGGAGTTTGCCGCATCTCGTGGAACGATAAATGTTACCATGGAGAGCAAATAAGAACTTGGGCAGTGGGCAGTCGGAAAGAGGGGAGGGGTGGCGGACAACCAGAGGCGGTACATACTAGTGTTGACGAACGCCCGAAATTTGCTTTAGGGAGATCCCGCATCGAATATGTAGATTAGATTCGGTAATCGGCAAATCAGCGTCAATCGACAAATCTCGACAATCTGTCGGCCAAATACGTTTTAGTAGGTGGCTGAAATTTTCGGTGGGTCTCGCGCCGTACTCAAAAATTTACCTCGACGGATCGCCGCTTACCGAACTTTTCGGCACTTCGATGATTCACTTGGGGGCTCCCGTGCCGACTTCGGCTTTCGGCTGTCCATCATTGTCAACACTAGTGTTTGCTGGATGGAAGCAAGAGTGCAACGAGAAATCGCTCCACCGCATTACTTCTATCGCTAAGCAGCGAAACTACAAACTTCCTACAGCTGTTTATTACAAAACGATACATCACAGAGCAGTTTATTTTTTGGATCTTTTCGAGTCATTACTTTTGTGAAACCTATTATAGTATATTAGCTGCGATAGTATGAAAAAGCTTGAGACAAACTGCCTTGCACGCACTTGGAAGATCAGTTTTCGAAATCCTGCTTGCACTCATTTTTTGGCGGAAGTTAATCTTAAAGTACTTCTGTAACCAGTTACAGAACAATCCGAACGCCATAAACTTCGCAGCACTGAACATATTGATGGATCAACCTCGATGTCAAGAAATTGTTGGTAGTGATCAACCAAGGAACGGAACGATAAGAGCATGCCTGGATATCTTTTATGAGGTAAATATTCGTTTATTATCCTTGTAACAAGTGCCTTTAGATTTAGTGGCGAAAATAGGATAGAATGCAACAATTAGTTATTTTTTCGAATGAAAGTTATGACAGACATATTTCATTTATCCAGTTGCCAGTGAAAATAATGTAATTATTATTCATTATCAGTTTTTTGATTATTTATGCGATCAACTTTCACTTGATCAGATTTGTTCATTGAAGTCAGCATTGACTGAATGGTTTTCAATCCCTCAGTTACTTCTCTGAATTTATTTACCTGAAATTTTCTGAAATAAGTTCTATATCGAGCAAGTTGTTGATAATGAGAATATGATTATCTGGATGAACACATTGAAGTGATTATTCTCACTGTTGTGACGCGTTAAATCAATTGGTTACAGGATAAGGGTTTGGAAAAGAAGGGAAAGCTTTGTTGTTGTCGCGGGAGTGATGAATGTAACGAGAATATAATGTGGCATGAGTTCGCGAAAACAATTGAACATGTTAGGCCAGATCAACAAACTTCTTCATCAACAATCCATCAAACAATCGCGTCATCATTTTCGACGATATTATTTGCTCTGATTATGAGAATCTAATGATGTGGTATTTAGAAAAACGAAGGATTTGATTCAGACAACTGGATAAACTGCTTTTGAATGATAACTCATGAGCATTGCCGTGAAATTAATCCATATTCATCTTGTAGATTGAATATACTATTGTATATCGGTATTTAAATGCAGCCTGCACTGAAAAGGCTTCACAACGATAGTTTTCTTTGTTAACTTACAAGCTTCATCCATTAGCAAAACTGAATAAAACTGCTCCACAGTTCAGTGTTTGTGTATGTTTGATCTTTGCAAGAACGCCTCAAAAACTCGGTTTTACGTTTGCGAGATGCGCTCTGCGTTTTGTTCAGGAAATTATCGGCCAACTGATGCATACTTTCCGCTTGTTGTTGCATTTACGAGTGCTAACCAGTGATGCTTACTTGTTTAAAATCTACTCATTTCCAGCCCCAAATTTTGAAAATCTCCGGTTCTGGGGCTCTATCTGTGCATTATTGAAAGTTCAGCTCCGCTCCGCCTCTGGATCAATCCAAACTTGCAAAAACTATCGTGCTGGTCTCAGCTTCGACCACTGAATGCTGCTGTGATATTTTGTTTGAGGGAGACAAAAAAATTTTTTTGGCTTTGAAATAGTGATGTTTCTATCCCGGTCAAATTGCTCTATTCCCTGGAATTCCTTGGATGGAAAAGAACAGTTCTAAAAAAAGGACGCCAAGAACAGAACGGAACAAATCAACTGAAAGGTGCAAAGGAACAGTTTGCTAAAAGTGTGGAACAGAACCATCACTACCCTACAGCTTAGACGTCACTGGCTCTGACATCCAAATTATGGCCATTCCTTACGTTATTCTGCTGACAGATTTGTTGTGCATATGAGTAATTGCTTGAAACATAGTTCAAATTTTTTTTTTGAATTTCCGTTTATTCATGTAGTTGAACAGTGAAAAGTGTTCAAGTTGATTTCAGTAGTTTTGACGTTCTTTCGCATAGCTCAATATCGTTCTCAATTATGCACGAGTGTACGAAAAAACTTGAGAGACTGAAATGGAAGCCAATGCCAATCAACTTAACAACCGTCAAACCATTTGAGAATACCATAAATAATTTTATTTCAACAACCTAACACACAATCGAACACAAACGGTATCATTCACAGTTAATTTTCACTATGAATGAAACGTTGAAAACATATATCAGTAATAGACGAAAAAGAATGTTTTAGGTGTAATGCAATCAGCAATGATTCTTAAACAGAACCGAGACCAGTAAGAAAAGCAGCCATCATTTTGCATCCATTCATGTAAATTTCGATGTTCATCTTCTCATTCTGCGAGTGTGCCATATCATCGAAACCACCGAAAGGTAGCAAAATAACATTCTTTCCGGTTAACTCTTCGAAGGTTATCGTTATTGGTATGCTGCCTGCTTCTCGTGTATAATCTGGTTCGACGTTATAAACTGCAAATCTGCCGGGTTACGAATTTGAAATAAACGCTTTGAAAATAGTGTTCATTTCAACGGTAATGTTTAAAATAAACTATTTTTTTTCGTTAGCGAATACTTTAAAACAATATTGTCACTTCGTTGCGCGCAGATTTCGTTAGCCACGAGGGTGAGTATGAGTCTGTGCTTATTCAGTGCATTTGACTTGATCACTACCCATAATCAAAACAAGCCGTTCGTTCGAAATATCTAATTGTAGGTCAGTAATTTCACATATGTTTCAAATTCTGCCAAAGTTGCTAGCTGCCACCAGGCGTGAAGATTTCGTTTCCGGTTTCAGCGAATTTTCAGTGTATGCAGGAAAAAGTTGTTTTTTTTACCTCTCTTGATTGCTTTTGCTGCCGTCTCATAAAGTGGCTGATGATAATCCGTAATCCATGGCTTTCCATTGTGACTTATTATGGTCCTTCAAACAATGAATATATACGCATAGCTTGTATATATTTGAACTGTTTGCGGAGTGTAAAATTAAAAGCTGTGAATAATGTGATAAGGTGGTGAAAGTGCAAAACCTGTAATGATTTGGCGATCCTCTTGTCTTCCAAAGTTTATCGAGATGCGCGACAACAAGACTGTCCACCTTTTTCGGATCCATATCCGGCACTATACGGAGACTGAATTTACCGATCACTTTCGACGGGATCACTGTTTTCGGGCCTGCGCCGCTGAATGCTCCCTCGATACCTAGAATATTTTTACTGAAGAAATACCTAATAGTGCACATGAATGTGACCGTATTCAAAACATGCATATGATTGCTATCATGAAAATTCAATGACCATGGACAGAAAGCGACGGATATCTCCATCTGTTCATGAGGATTTCTTGCTTCGTTTCAGCCGTTAGTCCGGGCACAGCGATGAACTTCTTGAACGCTTCCTTAAAGTTCAATTAATAAACGTTTCATGAAACGATCAACATGAGCGATAAGATTCTTCTTTGAAAGCGCATTTCTGAGCTGTTTAAAACAGATCACTTCTAAATCATTCAAAATCTGCAATAATCATGAACACACCACATCGAAATCGATATTATCATATAATTTGAGTTCTTCATCGGTCACCGGTCTGACCATTTCATCCAATCCCTCGATTTGTATTTTGCCCTTTACGTCCGATAATTGTGAAAGCAACCAAATCAAATCCCTCATTGGTTCATATCTGAACGGTATGCTCTATTATTGGGCGAGGACAACCCTTAAATTTTCAATCATTCGAACACTACAGAATTTAAGTTTTATCCAACTACATCCGACGATATCAGCCATTCGAACATTATCAATTTAAAACAGCTCAAGAAGAAATCGTCAACGGTTTTAGTGGACCGCATCAGTCATTTATACACAGCCATATTACGAATTCAAGTTCACACTAGGAATCGCTGTCATACTGATGTATTTCAGAACTTAATTCTCCGCTATAAATCCCGTGATTCACGGTACCACGTAAAAGTAAACTTTTTGTTACTTACATTACGCCACCAAAATCGCCAGAATGAAGATCCTGTTTTGCAGAGGACACTTCCACGTAATAATAGCACATTCCTCTGAAAATGGAAACTCATTATATTTTCGCTTTTAATATGAGTATTCGATCATTTGCAAGTATCAAATCACTTGTTCGTTTCTGTGAAAAAGTTTCAGGGATGAGTTATCAGCATACAATTTCTGTCGAGTTATTTCCTCATTCCTGTGTATTTTCCTCGAGAAACTGCTCGATATGTCACAAACAGTAAGCGTTATAGCACCCACCTGATGCCATATTGAAGATTCGGTTTGTTACCAAGTCGAGTAGTATCGCAAATGCAAGTGAAGTCAACATCAGATAACCAAGTGTTTTTCCGAGCAGTCAATGCCTCTTCAAGACCTTTTGATCCACTCTCCTCCATACCTTCCAGGCAGAACTGAAATTAATATAGTGACAATTTGTTTCATGACGTTAGACCATGCAGGTTCACAAAGTCGACATACTGAAGTGAAAAGGACGAATTTGATACATAAAATTTATTCGTAGGTACGAGATAGATTCCAGTCGTATTATTTATTTTCTGTGCTAGCAGAAATTAAAACTGTACTGGAATAGACGAATGTTTATGATTACCTTAATGTTGATCGGTAGTGGAACTTTTTTTCTGTGTAACGACTCAAGAGCGTTAATCCACGACATTACAGGTCCTTTATCGTCGCTTGCGCCACGTCCATACAGTTTCCCATCCTAAATTCAGTGGCTCTCATGATGACTGTAGCAGAGTGTTGCGGGAAGGGGAATTTCCTAGATCCCCATTGAACGTTATTCGTCGAACCCGACTTTTTTTTTCAGAATGGTGGTATTTTGAGGGTCTCCGACTGAAAAGCTCACCATTGATTTTTCCATTCTAGGCTTTTCCCATCCTCGCAATAGGATGTAAGATGTCTGGGTTCTACAAAAAGATCGATAATTGAGCAAACAATCGAGTCAGATGATGATGCCAAGTGATAATGGATACCTTTTCCGTAAGATGGAATGGCTCGGTGTTCCAGCCGTCCTCTTTGTGTGCTGGTTGCACATCCAAATGTCCATAAATGAGTAATGTCTTCTTCGATTCGTCTTTCCCAAGCACACCAAATAATATCGGTGGAAGTTTGATTGTTTTACCATTTGGCAGTGTTTGCATTCCAGGTTCGAACAACTCCACCTTTGTACCGAATGATTCAAGATGCTAAATTAATCATTTTCTTGTTATGCTCATCGATTTAATTGAATGTAAATTCATAAGTTGCATTTCACTGAACAAGACGCAATCCATTTCACATTAGATTATCAACCATTTTGAATAACCCTGTAGAATTCTTTCGGAATTCGTCTTTACGAATGGTTTAATTCAAAAGTTTTCTTCAAATGATGTCGACGAGCATGAAAAAATTTAAGTGGACGCACTTTCTTAGCATATTCCATCATGCGCACCACATCTTTTCGATGCTCCGGTTCACCCGAAACACTCGGTATTGCCACCGCGTCACGCAAGCGTTCAATGTATTTCTTTTGATGATCATCAATATCCCTATAAATTTGACTGAAAACTGTGAAACGAAGAAATCGTAATTTTATTCAGTATCAGCTCGATATTGCGGTGCCGAATCAACGCTCTCAAATGATGATGTTTGAGAGCAAATTATAAATATTGTTGACATTTGCAGATAGCCGAATGCTGAAAACAGCGAGGGAATTCCCAAATCAATCGCTGGAATTTTCGGTGATTGACGATTTACCAAAACGAAATTTCTGGGCTCGTTGCTGGATCCTCTAGTATGTTGTACAACCTTTTGATATTCTACAATTTGCCCAATCCATATTTTTAAATTCGGCGCGGGATCCCCCGAACCAAATTTTGAGCATTTGCTCACATTAATTAATATAGTAACGAAACTTACTTCACAACGGCGGCAAATGTTTTATCGTCCATTTCTGAATATGTGTGACCTGAAACATAGATATTTTGCTTGGATTTGGAACGGAACATTCGGATCGATGTTGACAAATGACAAGTGTGTCAAATGTATTAACTTCACTGACATTATGCCTCACAAAGATATCAACTTCAAACCGCTTAAATTATTTTCAGTATGACCTCAAACTTTCTCCCTACAATTGTTTCTGAGCACTGGAATGAGCGGAATAGAGTTTATTGAGGGGAGATTATTCGAAACAACCATCGCAAAAAAAGACAAGTTGTGAAAATGCTTATGTTTATCGGCATCCCTACTGTCAAAATAGTTGTAGGGATACATTCTTTGCTATTCACCACAACTAAGCAAGTTTGAAACGGGACATATGGTCAGACCTTCACTGACGAACAGTTTATGTATAAAGTTTCATTCCTGTCATTTGCAGCCTTATCAGTCAATCAGTTCAAGTGATAACAACTGCAGTCACTACTATGACAAAATCAATTTCATGATCCATATATGTAATTTCATTTTGTATGCAGAACACACTTCAGTGCTAGGTTATTTTTCCTACTTGATCGATGATTTGTTCATTGCTCATATATAGATATATACTTTGCTCTGGCCTATTAAGAACTGTGACGTAAGAACACTTATTGTTAGATCTTTGCAAAAATAGTTTCCACAGAGGATTGAAAATCAATTTTTATCAACACTCAAATTTTTATTAAGTTTCCACAGAAAATCAAAATTAATAAATTTTTATTAAACAGTGTTCATGATGGTTACAGGATGTATTCAGTTTGTTGGCTATGGAAAAGTTTCGTGAAAAGGAATTTGGGTTCAGTCCCTTGAACTCTATTCAGAATTTTGTGAATAAGCATTCGTGGAAAACATCATCTTACTCATGGAACATCAACACAATCGATTTATCTTATAATCTGTATGATTCTCAAATTGATTAATCATTAAATTAATTATTCAACATGGCAAGCTAAAATAGCTGAAGAAGGAAGAGGGAATTGAAGAAGAAAGGATAGGATGATTGATGATATTAATGTTTAACTCGAATGCCTTATTCAATATGAAACGTTTGGTATTAGCACAAGCGAAGCGATTTGCCGGAAAACGGTTCGCCTCAGACTAGAATATGTCGTGTTTAGATTGTCCGAAATTTCTCTGAAAACGACCGCTATTCGTACTGAAACATTGACTGAATCCCGATTGAACCCTGGCATATTGAAAATGTGCAATTTATTGTTGTCTTGCTAGTTTTATGATTCGATTGGTAGTCATATATTTGCAGCATTGCTATTTGCTTACATCTTTATCAATGTATTATTACATTATTAGCTTGATATAAACAAATAACGACTGTAGACAACCCAAAAAACAACGTAGTGCACATCTTAAAAAGCGATAGCTTCGTGCTTATTTACCAATCTCTGATAATTTTATCACCGCCATTTTTCCAACAACACTCTTGGGGAACATTCTAAAGCAAAATGAAATTGCTGCGACAGCTCGCATTTCGAACGCTTGTCAAACAAGCAACAAATGAAATAACACACGCTTTTCGTTTTCATTTTTTTCCTGTTCGAAAGAATGGAATCAAAATTAATGTGTCCAATGAACATCCATTGTAAGTTCCATACTACAGGCCTACATATACTACATATTTTAGCAGATGTTTTTCGTGCATAAATTGCTCTCTCAGTTATTTTGGACCAGACCATAATATTTTATGATTATCGAATGGATGTGGTCAAGTTTCTCAGGTCAACACATGTTTCGCAAAACACCTAAACCATTTTCATTTTAGAGTTGTTCATCATCGGATATTAAAGAATATACAAAATTGTCGCAAATTTTTTCCCTCCAATTGTTGGAATGCCAGTTGACTCGAGTTCGTGATGGTCCAAAATACTTCGTGCAAAATATCAGCTAAAATGTGGCACCTGAAGCTGGCGCAAAGCGCTCGAACTTTTTACTATAGCAATAAATTGGGCGTTCTTCCCCGTTGCTCGATTTTTCAATTCATTTTTTGGACTTTTGATGCATCGAATACAGATGATTAATTTCACTGTAGGTAAACCTCCAGCAGAATTTTGCAGCGGCCGAATCAAACTTTACAGTGCGGCAGTTACTGCCATCGAGCGTTCCTTCTTGATGTTCATTTTTTGGATGTTTCGCTTCGATTTTAGAAGCACAAGGCAGAAATGATTCATGTTTGTTGTAAAAGCAATCTCCATGAAATTTCAGTCGAGGGTATTGCAAGTGGAACTCACCGGACATGACATGATACAGTTGAGATATGGCATCAAAATATCGTGAACTTTTACGATTAAAAAATATTTTCTGAATTAACATTTGATGACAATCACCCTCATTAAAACAATTATTCATGTTCTCAGTTTGAATCATTCGTTTTTTCGAGATAGTCTCATTTATTCATTATACATTTACATAATGACAACTCAGGAAGAACAAATGAATTTCCCTTGTATTTCAGTGTACCTTGAGATCTTATAGCATGATATTCTTGTACGTTTAAACCAATAGTTTTGATTTAATCCTGACAAAATGACTGTTCTTAATGCTGTCCGTTAGATGAATTTCTCGCTTGAAAGTTTTTCATCCATAGTTCTTAAATGGACAGCAGTATTATGAACATCTCTGAATATTTGACCCATGGCTGAACAACGGCATTGTGCTAAAAAGATCCATCTGTGGCTGGAAGGATATCGAGTTCAGACTATCAATACTTTTAATATTGACAGGCGTTGTTCCATATTGATCGACTGCAGTATATTTTAGATTATCACATGAGTGCACATATTCCTAAACGAAAATCTGATATCTATTCATCGACTGATGTCTGAGAATAGTAGGTATGCACTATCTCGAAAATTTTTCTCTGATATCTGATAAATATCTTTCAAATTTTTTGCTCTGTTTGGTGAGATTTTTTTGACCGTAGACGGTTGTTTCGAATTGACTTGACTGGTGTTTGGTTAAACTTAATGAAATGAAACTAAGAAGAGCATACATTTGTTAGCATGCAATCTAAGAAGTACACATTTTAAGTGTGATCGAATATATACTTTTTGATCAGTGTCGCTCTGTCGTAAAGTGTGGTTGCACAGAACAAAATTTGAAAAATGGTGAGATGGAAAAATGAGAAATAACTTGATTAAAGAGACCATCAACTTCAGTTACAGGTAATGACACTATTACAACGGCTCCTTCTATCATTAATTACATCTCAGATATTTCGTCAACAGTGTAATACATCATCACTAATTTTACACGAAAATTCACAGGAAACAATTCTCAAGAAGGACGCTCAAATTGACTGAAAAAAAACTAACGAAACTGACTTATTCAGTCATGGCAATTTTCGAAATAAAGAAACTCTCAACTAGATTATGGGTGTCGTGGATTTCAGTAGCTTACCGATATGGATCACACAACTTCATTCACGTAACCTTATACGGGTTTGCACAGCAAATACGGGTGTATATTAACTCCTTGTAAGTTTGAATCATGCGTGAGCCTGAGAGTAAACCAGGGTCAGAACTAAATCTTTATTCGAGTGTATGAAACTGAATAATATCCGTTTGATCAGCAACAACTTCAATGTTGCCTCCATGGAATACTTGATATTATCTTTACAGCATTTGTCGCAAATGATTATAAGCATAATATCTAAATGTCAGTAAGAATCTGTTCTTCAGATGCTCAAAGTCAATAAGTGCTAGTTTTTTCGAAGTTGGACGAATTGTTTCTGGCATTCATTAATTCTTCTCTCCAATCATTTGTCAACCAGTCATATAATAGCCTTACCATGTATTGACTGAACTATCAGTTCAAACAACCTGAACTTGGTTGTTCATAACTTGAATCAAGTGATCAGAAGGGTTTGGAATAGATTTAATTATTAACAATTATTTCTTCATTCCTTTTTTTATTAAAAATCTTGTTTGATGTTTTGTGTTGAAATGTTGTTTGCACAACGCATTTGCACCACCAAATTTTCATACCGTCAACATTTGTATCTGTCGCTTGTATGCATCAAAATATTATTGCTGCGGATAGCAATATTGAATTTATTAACGTAGCAATATTGAATAATGTAGATGTGAATGTCGCAAAGCGATATTAAAATTTTCAGTATTACATCTGCAGAGAGAGAAGAGTTGTTTTTTTTCCAGAAGAATATATGAAGGTTATAATGTTTCTTTTGTTTTGCTGATAGTGGCAGACAACGAACGTTCTTGAACATCATTGCTGATAAAAGAATATTATACACATTCTATTTTTGAACGCATCCATAACACTCAAAAAACTGTTCATCAAATCACAAACAGTTGCTCATACCTTCATCTGACAATGGAACTTACAACTCCGAAAGTACTTGCTTAGGCTTAATTGGAATGCTGAAGGAGATTTGCGTGGAACGATTGATCTCACTCAAATCCATTGCAAGATCTCTCCTTTGTATCAGCTCTTCAGCAAGTGATAATAAGGACATCGCATAAAATAATTATCACCTAACATTGTCATTGTCAACGACTTGATCATGCAAAATCGAAAACCCATCGCATTAATCATATTCACATCTAGTATCGATCATCAGAACAGTGTTTCATTTGTTCTTTAACGAATATAAAAATGATAGCAGTTTTCTTAAATTCGTCATCTTTGTGAATCATTCACGAATCCCACTTACAATTATTTGCTCAACGCATTCGAATGATCAAAAAACACTTGTTTGCTAAATCCGAACGACCGACATCCTAACAAAACAAGTTAGTGAAATGCTTAAATTTCCTCAATCCGTTCCGAAAAATTTTTCATGATAAAAACACTGAAAATGACTGCTGATAATGATAACAGTGAGTGATCCAATACAGTAACTTCTGATCACTTCAGAAAAGTCAGTATTTTTAGTTCGATTACTAGTAATCGGAAAAAAAAATCGTTTGGAGCAACCTAAGTTGCTTATTAATCGAAGATGTAAACTTGTGAATATTCTAAACTTTCAATTTCGGGTATAATTGCTTTGAAGAAATGCTGCTTTATGACGTTGTTTATTATGATTCATTGTTAAGGGTGTCAATAAAGATTTCGTGGTAAACGTAATTGAGCCTTATAAAAAAACAATGATTAAGATTAAGTGAAATGTTGGTGTTCAGCAAACCACATTTCCACTTTTCATACTTTTTCTGAGCAGTTATAATTGCTCTTACACAAATTAAACTAGAATTTCGATGACGTTTCGGAAGAACCAATGAAAACATGTTGAATATAAGAAGTGTTAACTGATCGTGTCAATTCTCATGCTACCTTCTGCGTACTTGCCAGTTGCCTACTTGCCTTCATTCTGTATTTTTTCGAATTGTTCGCTCCGAACATTACCAGTAAATTCTCAGTTTTGTTTGAAAATGATATTTAACCGACTCCAAACGATTCTTCACGGTTTTAGAGTTCGTTTAAACGAGCTCCGTGATTGAATTAGTGATCTCATAAGCAGGCAAAAAGCTATTTTCAGCATATTCACTGATTGCTTATCGTGCCTTTAAATATACATATGTCCGTTCACCCTAATTCGGTTATTTCATGAAATCAGTTTTAAAGGGGCAAACGATGTTCATCTCCAAATCAATCCTCATTCTCCTGTTTGCGTCAGTAGCCGTACTGTCTCGCCCCCAGTTTCGTAAGTGCAAAGTTTCAAATTTCCGTTGAAACTTACCATGTTAATCGTCATTTCCTTTTGAAAGTATCATTGTGACATCACAAAACTATCAGTTACGGTATCTATGAGCGAGGAAAGGGAATGGAAGGGAAGTGTAATTTTGATCGCGAGTGAAATAAATGTTAGAATCTGAAAATAAATTTGTTTCAGCCGGAGGTGGCATAGGACCAGCTCTACCGCCAGGTCGAACTAGTTATGATCCACAAGGTAATTCGCACAGTAATAGCTCTTTCACCATGAGAATGTCTTTTCAGCGACAACCTTCAAGCATTCAGAAATGCAAAATGTAGTGACTTTATTTCTGGTTTTGGAATTGTTGATTCGTTGACGTATTGAATGCTTCAACATTCAGAAAAAACATCGATCATCACTAGGGTTTGCAAAATCCCGACGATTTTTCAATCCCGGGATAATCCCGGGATCGAACAATTACTGAAATATCGATGCGGGACATGT